ACAATTGAGAAGTAATATTTTTTATTGAAATGATTTTTGCTTGAGATTAAGAGTTTATTTGTTGATAATTTTTTTTTAGTTTACGCAAAGAGGTTGCAAATCTTAAAAGCGAGCTTATTAAAAATAATAAACAAATCGAATCATTAAATGAAAGGCATAAAAAATTACTCAATTCATATGAAAGTTTACTGAATAATCATGCTGTTCTTAAAGAAGATTACGTAGCGTTGTTAGAAAATAATAGTGATTATTATGCAGAACGTTGTCATCTATTAGTGCAAGAAAATAGTGTATTGGTTAAACGGGTAAGTTTTTTATATTAATATACTCTTCCATATTAAATACTATCATATGGTTAGATTTTTTTATTATAAATATGTAGAATTTAGAATTATTTGAAGAAATCGAATGGTTACATGAAGAAATCAGAATATTATATGACGAAATCGAAAAATTAAAGAAAAGAAATGAATCGCTTTCTTGTGTAATTGTTATAGATGATTGATAATACTTAGGATTTTTTTTCGAATAAAATACTATTAGTTGCTTACACCAATGTGGATTATCGGATACGATTCTCAAATCTATGTTTTATATCCCTTATTAGAATTGAATATTAGAACTTTGAGAGAAGTATATTTTGTTTATTTTTATTTATTTCATTCATTCAGATATTCACTTTTCGTGTTTTATTAATGTTAGAAGAATCGGGACGAGCTTTTCGGAGTGGTTACAGTGAAGAAAGCACATTTTAGCTTTTCGGAGTTATTGCAGTGAAGAAAGGCTCCATCGCGATTTTATGTGAAATAGAAGTTTATACAGGTTCTCCTGAGTTAAGTAGGTATGACTAAAAGTGTAATTACACTTCTAGTTAACAATGAAGGAAACCCAATTTGAGCACAAAAGAAGTTTTATTACCATCACTCCTACATAATGATCAAGATTAAACGTATAATTATTTTAAAAACCTCTATGATGATGTATGAAATTACGTTTATTAAATTACTTAAATCTGAGAGGTTTATGTAAAGCACAACCATATTAAAGAAATTCCAATATTGTATTTCTCGTTTCGACTTCGAGACACTCTAATTCACCCCATTGTCTTTACTGTGATGTTTATTTAAACCGGTTTAGATTAAATTTATTCGTCATTAATTATTAATATATTAGTTTAAAAAATTTACTATTATTAAGAAAACTAATGTATAAGTTCTAAATCTATAATCAGGTTTTCCATTTTTTCTATGATTTTACTAAATAATAAGTTGACTCAGTAACTGATGACTTATAGATACGAAAAAATTACA